TTTAATGTTACAGGAAATTTAAATCCCAAAACGAACTCTTACGGCATTATTACAAAAAAAAAACTTAAACCAGGTTTAAACCAGAACTGCGTAGCCTTGGTTTAACTCTTAAACCATGATCTAAATGACTTTAAGTAAGTACCATAGTTACTCCAGTACAAACGTTAAATTTCGTTTTGTAATAAAGATTTTAAAGACAAGATTAAATGCAATAAGTATCCGCAATTTACCCAAGTACACATTTATTTATATAAAACACTCTTAACGACTTAAAACGCGAAATATATTAGTTGATATATTTTACTTCGGTACCACGAAGGAAATATTGGAAACGTCGGGCCGTATTTGAATTATAATATATTTAACGTTTCAAACCGTTAAAATAAATGCCGTAACTGGAAAAGTAAATAAGCAATCATAATTATAAATGTAATAATATACTTTCCAATTTCCTCGTGAATTTGTGTTCAGTGAGTTTTCACGGGACAATCGCGGTACGGCTAGAAATAATCACCATTAATCACACAAAAGTGACGCGCCCGCACAATTAAGTCTACCGTTAATAATGATCGTGGATGTGCAATTTATACTCGGTACAAACACGTCAAAATTACACTCCGGCGGCGGAGCGTGGCTTAACACATGCTACTTAATACGGAAATTTATCATTGTTTGTATAAATACGAACGTAAATCTGGGGCGTAAACGACGCGACTTGGTCATCAAAAGAAACAAAGTCGTTTTTTCTGTCCCTATGTGCGCTTAAATCTTCAAACCTACGCAACGGATTATGATGATGGTGAGGTGATGGTGATTCAAGAATAATTTTTATATACAACGCTCAGGTTTTTTGTAGTGTATTTAGTATCAGAATTGCCCAGCGAAACCGGAGCGGGTAGAAACAAAAAACTTTAATGTAGTTCACTATAGTGAAAGTAAAGGTTAAAAATGATTGATTCATGTAACTAACTAGGTAAACATATAAACAACAATACAGTTAAAAACTAAAGACTAAATTTAGCTTTACTTCCAGTTCCCAAATCAAGGGCGTAGAATGAACGAAAAGGATTGGCAAGAATTCTTTTCGTTGGTTCGTTTATCGATTCATTTGCAAAGTTCCCACACTTTGAGTACTCTACAGTACATCTTTTAAATAAAACACTTAATAGTTTTTAACGCAAGATGTATTCTGTAGCTTAATGATATTAAATTAAGGGGTGTTGCCTAGCATAGCGTTAAGAGCGAGAGGTGCTGGGTTCGAATCCCAGGGAACCAGTCTGCAGACTGAAAAACGGACACAGAAATGCATTCGCTCCATGGCATATGTGGGAATACGGGATTTCACTTTTTATATACATATATTTAATTTTATCTTTAACATGTAGATCGATGCTTTAACACTAATCTTGTCTTAATCTAGTAATATGATTAATTACGTCCACTTAACGTGCGGTAATAATTACCAGACAAATGTAAGATGAATAAAGTTAATCAATCATCGTACTTAGACGAAATACCTAGTACCTACGGATTACTGCAATATTCGAAAGGTTAAAAACCCGTTATGTTTATTTAGCAATTATTTAAGATTGGACGGCAATCTTCTAACACCATATTGATTTTAGATTAAGAAATTCGCATTAAGTAAAGCCTTGCTTTCAGTTGTAGCCAAGATTTACGATATTTTATATACTAACTGACGGGGCAAACGTTGTTTTATCATATCAACATTTCTAGGGAGTTTATTTATTATTTATATTATATTTATTAAACATTGAGGACATATTTAATAAAAGAACGACAAACATGAATTTAATATAATTTATTGACGGCGCCCGTTAGTGGTGGATACTCCTAATTATTTAAGGGTGTTAAAACAAGATAGTAACCGATTCTTAGACCTCCTGAATATTGATATAAAATATCTTAAAAATCAATCAAGCCGTTTTAAAAGATATTGTGACACGAGGATTTTATATATTAGATTTAATATACCTAAAGATACATCATAATTACAATCAAAAAGTTAAGCGCGGTCCTTTGCAAATTAGACTGCCGTATGTTTTCACCTCCGCAGTAAGGGTGTGACGAACCACCCAGACACTATAAAACGTCTCATAAAAGCATACAAGTGTAAATATAGAGTGAGATTAAAATAAATATATACACTGTCCTGTCCGATGATTCGCAACTTGTTTCCATAGAATAGCATAGTTAACTCAAGTCTAAGTTTGAGTATGGGAGCTAAGTCTGTAGCTTACGCAAGTAGTACACATTTAAATAAAGCATTTGACGGTTTTAAATTATTAGTCAAATTTGTTAGAAATTATTTTTAACTACAGCCCGTCGTTTCGAATCTTTTGTATCAGCCATTGTCTAACCACGGCTGCCGCGATATATTTCGCGTTTTAACCCGTTATCGTGTTTTATTTAACTGTGTACTATTCGCATGAACAGTATTAAATTTTGTCAAATAAAATTATGACACTCGAGAAGTTATCGTATGCGGAATTTTATTTTAAGAGTATAGGATCCTTAATTAAATATTATTCAAAGAAGTCAACTTAAAGCATTTAAAAAAAAGCCACAGAAAAGCTGATAGCTCGTAGGTTCCGTTCACTTTGAAATTGCTGGGAAATTTAATATAACATGATGCCCATCGATGCGATTACGCGGTAAAAATAATCTTTACGGAGGCATTACACTGGCGAGACGAGGTGATGTTTACTTATCAATTTCTTGGCAATAAATCTTTACTTGAGGATGGGGCGGTGAGGATGATGAGTTTTATAATTTTACGACTCGTTCTCCAATTATTGGATGAGTTATAAATACGAGAAATGTGCAAAACTATGTTTGAATATTTTTAAGTGCCACGTTTGTAGAGGCAGTAGTTTATAAAGCAAAGGGGAATTCACTCTTTCAAAAATGAATAAACTCTTTTTTCCTGTTTAAAAAAAAAACTATATATTAATTAAGCATCAATGTTTGCCAAAAGGTACTAAAAAAATTACTACATGGGCAGGACTTAATCAGGCATCCACAGGGTTCCGTGCTTTTGCTAACCAATTGAGCTGGGCCTTCGAAATCTTTTGCGCCGATGTCCTCTCGAAGAAAGTGGCGTGGGAGGTTGGTCCCGATGCCCCCGCTTTCCGACGGTGGAGACTTGGAGGGCGCCGACGCGATTACGCCAGGCGCCAGCCGTGTTTTCGGTCTTAGGACCGACTTGGGTGACGGCCAAAGACTAGCCACGTAGGGAGACACGGGCGCGGGCAGCGGGTCAAGGGCAACTAACCGCTCCCGCCCGTGTCTGTCAAGTCTCCGAATGGGCTCTTGGAGGTTAAGTGGGTAGTCGCCAAGCTGGCTGACCCCAACACTTCGCCCACCACTGTATATGTAACCAGGCGGGGGCGTCGGTAAAGATTTAATTCAGCTACCGCACATCCTCGAATTTTTTCACAACAAAAATATGTTATTATAAAATCCGCTTGTCGCATACCTCAAAGAAGAGTCGAATATAATGGTTAATGTGGTAGTTGGATGTAATTCAAAACTATTGTGGGTGTGTAAGCAACATTACGACCACATTGTATCAAAATCGATCTAGCCGTTAAGCCGTAAAACTTCAATAATATAATTTATTTTCGATTTTTAAATTATATAGTGCCTTCATGAACATGAACATGTTAACATGTAAAAAAAAATAAAGTTTTCAAACTTCAATAGACCTATCGTCAAAAACGAATGCATTTATATAATGATATACAACTAATGAGTTGAAACATACAACCAAACTAGATATGATTCAATGCACGATCTAGACCGCTGTAAGTGGCACCAATTAGATAATTGCTCTGGTCAACAGAATTATGCTAAGCGCATTGATGAGTTGGATCTCGACAAAGGGGAAGGGCATGTATCGTTCAACGATTATGTTACGCTAGAAGTTTTATTTAATTAACGAATTGATGATTATAATAGGGCATATAAGAAGCTATATAAGAAGCAGCTGTATTTTCCTCTAAGAGAACTAAGAAGCTTCTGACTGCGACCAATAATCAAAATCAATTAGATACTATAAGTAACATATAGATACAAGCAAGGCTGGATATTTGCACAAAGCTTTCGGAGTTTCAATTTTTTTTTTAGTGAAACGAACTAAGAATCTTAATCATAGGTCATATAAATAGTTAACTATAAATAGATAAATAAAGTGCCCAGTGACCGCAGCTGCATCTTAGGGACGTAGTAAAAAAACAAAATATTTTAACTCCGCAACGCGCACCGATTTGCAATACAAATAAACATCATGTATGTAAACACCGTGAACAATGCCCTAAGTGATTGCACAAATAATATTGTCGAATAAGCACTGAAATGTGGCTATGGAAGTGGGTTACGTTAACTATTGCAAAACGTACTTTGCGAACTGTGAATGCATGTGTGATACTAAAGTATCTATTCACTGTGCTAAACAAAAAGAATGTAGAATGAAGTAGGGGAACAAAAAAGTTGCAATAGTAAATTTGTATTCGTATTTAAAATAACGGCTATAAGCTAAAAACTCTAATGTAACGTAGGATAATTTTTATTGACGAGATAGAACATCATATCATTGTTTTACAGGCTGTTCGGCCGACGTGAGCGAGAAGAAGTTATCAACGTTTCGAAGTAAAAGCATGTCATATGCTTTTAACTTAATTTTCTCCTGCATCCTTCCTATTAAAATGCAGTTAAATAAGGATAGCGTATGATAAGTTTGGTCCTTCGAGCCGGATGAAAAACTATACAGAAAAAAATCGCGGAACTACTAAACCAAATGCCAACATATTGAAAATGTCTAAATTGCCATATTTCTATACCGGTGTCACATAACTCTAACAGGTAGCAGAATTAAAATTAAAAATGGATACATAAAACAAAGGAGAAGCCCTTGACAAACGTTACTTAATAAGTAACAATTTTATTAGTAAAAAAAAAATTATCTTTTAGTCACTTACGTCAAAGAAGTGTGGCCTTAATCTTCCGATGGTATATTTAGCTACATCTGTGGTCAGCTGTTGACAGGCACAGCCGAATAGAAAGACGCCGACCATACGATATGCTTCCCATATCCAAGCGGGGATTTCCAGGCCCAGAATTACACGTGATCTTCCTCCCTTGTAGTCACGCAACCTGATCCATTCAGTGAGGCACATCTGGAATGAGAAAAACATTTTAGAGCTATGAAAACAGGTGTAATGATAGCTTCATAAAATAACGATAATGAAGAATAATTTAGTAAGTCGAAAATAATGCATATCAATAAGTTCTTTGCGTAAAATTTTATTATAATATCAGCGAAATGAGTTTATACATAATACGTAACTATCATTGTGTCCTTTCACTCTTGGTAAGCAAAATGTCGATAAAACACAGCCAGGCACTCAGGACGATGAATAAAAACCCGTAAAAGGTAATATTAATTTTGGTCATTGCCAAAATTTTAATCGAGGTAAGACACGCGACATAAGTGAATGGTATTCAGTGTCATTAGTTATTTTCCATATTAAGATTTTTGGGGGCCATTTATATTGAGGGGTTGACTATTTCAAAATGCAACACAACGATTCTCATAGAAATTTCAAGTTTCAATTCACTGATTACAGCTTCTGCAAGTCATCCCAAACATCGGGCCATAGTTAAAATAAGTTAATATATATTATAATTTAATAATAAATCTATAATCATAAAAAATATTAGTTATCATATATTAGCCAAAGAATACTTGAAGATTCATTATTTAAACAGTGACAATGATGATGTGAAAACGTGCTTTAGAAGCCTGTCGTCTAATTAACACTTAGGTTCATATTGGCTTTGCTTTTCTATGACTTAGCTATTTCAAAGAAATTCAAAGAGTCAATAAATAGGACTCAGCATTCAAAACTATCTTTAACAATATTAGGTTACTCGATTCGATTGGCATCCAACATTCTCCTTGTATTTTTTTTGACATCCTTACTTTTTGACATTTGAAGCCTTACTGCACTGCATATATATTGTAGGTTAGTATATACAGATGACGTCTGTAGTTTACGCGATTAGTACACGTTTAAAACGCGATATATTTTAGTTAAACTTGTTGGAGAATTATTTTTAACTACGGCCCAACGTTTCGGCTGCTGCAAAGCATCTCAAGCATACTCAAACAATTTAAATAAAACACTTTAACGGTTTAAAACGCGATATATTAGTTAAACTTATTTGAATATGATTTTTAACTTCGGCCCGACGTATCGGATGCTTTGCAGCAGCCGCGTTACGGAGAGACCGCTAAAGTGTTTTATTTAAATGTGTACTACTCGCGTTAACTATAGACAGAATACTTGAACAAGTTTAACTAGAATATATCGTGTTTTAAACCGTTAAAGTGTTTTATTTAAATATACAGATGCCGTCAAATGATCCCATTAATTTCAAATTTAAAATGTGGCGCGACAGGTTTATAATTTAGGCTCAAGTACTCTTTTTCTAATAATCAAAATACAACGGAGACTAAAATTTATAACAATTGATAATTGCGCAGAGAAATTGTCAATTTTCCAACTTTGTATGAAATTATTTTAAATTAATTCAAATTTATTTTCGGTTTAAGAAGTATTTACTATAACAAATAGTGTAGACAGTGTTATAAAATAACTAATCCACGCGAATACGTACGAACGTGGAATAGTGGAATGTAGTTATTTTCGCCATCAAAATTTATTTTTGCAAACAACCTATCAGAGCTTTATAAATTATATTTATTACCCACGACGTCATCCGTGTCCTGTCGTTCTTACGAATGAAAGAGGAATCATTCTATTATACATATTTGTGGGTTTCTTGATTTGTTTTTGTTTCTTGATTCTTATTTTTGGCCATCCAAATTTGTTTTTGCAAACCTTCTTTTCATCTTTATAATATTAAGCTATTACCCACGAAGTCGGACGCTTCCCGTCGTTGTTGCAAGCTGATATTAAAAGATAGACCTATAGTTATGGACATTTTTTGGGTATGTTGAACTGTTTTCGCAGCATCCTCCTTTTTGCAATGTTTTATTGCGCTGTGACTAAAAGGATATAAAATTTGAGGTTATAAGCAGCCTTCCTCGATAAATGGTCTAACCATCGCAAAAATATTGTTTCAATTCAAACCAGTAGTTTCTGAGATTAGCGCGTTCAAACAAACAAACTCTTCAACTTTATAATATTATATACATTAAGAACGATCTGCGTCCCAACAGTGGGAACATCAACCCGGACACATTCATCTGCATATTAACACGGTCCTCTTAACTCGCTGTAAACACTTGTCGAGTCAATTATAAACATAAATTTGCATACGATCGCAAAAACATCGCCACGCCCTCATTGAGATGTGTGCTGATATTGAAACTCATACATCAAACATGCACTTCATTTCATAGTTGATGAATTATCCGTTTCGTTATATTATAACTGTTTGCCACGTGCAGGCCTCAATTCCCTTTACGTCTCAGCTGATTCTTCTGCTAAATAGAATGAGAGATTTAACAGTTCATTTGAAAACATTAATATTTTTTACATGTTATTGCACGTGAAGGCACTATATAATTATTATTATATATTGACTCGGTAGCTCAATTGGTAGAGCAACAGCACGAAACTGCCCGAGTCGGAATTTTTTTTAATTTTTTTTCGATACTTAAATTAACAGTTCATGTTAATTTTTAGTTTATCCAGGTACCAAAATATAATAAGTAATTACTATACTTTCTAGAAAGATTCATACAATTCGATCAAATGTAAGGGAGTTGCTTTCTATTATACATACAAAGTAGGTAAGTACATAGCGCAAAGGTAGTTTAACTTTACCACAACTTTTATTGTGATCTATTTAAATGTCTGTATTGATAAGTTGCTTTTTGTTAACTCGAAAATGCATTCATGTGTTTTTACTTAAATGTTGCAAATATTCTTAAAATCTTTCGAGCCAAATCCTATAACAGAAAATTTAATACGTCTGGCGACTGCCTCAACATATTTGTGCGCAGAAAACTGAATTTTGGCGCGCCTAATATATTTGACGGACTGGGCGTAATTGTAACTTTGTATGCCTCATAATCAACAGATCGATTCTATCCTCACTATGTTAAACTTCGTCTGCAAAATCTGGAAATTAAATGGGGCCGCATTTCAGATTCTCTAACCAACACGAAAATTATTCTTCGATTCGAAATCGTAGTTCCTGAAATTAGCGCGTTCAAACCAACAAACAAACTCATCAGTCTTATATATTAGTATAGATAGATGCATGTGTAACTGTGTATCCATCTATAACTACAGTGCTATTTTCAGTATAAGTAAATAATAACGTTATTTCCATTATGTGATTAAATCCGACATAAAACAGGAAAAACAAAGGCCTCATCAAACTATAACAAAGCTACAAAAAATTATTATGTACGTTAACGACCTTCTGTTAGTAGTTTTTCTCGTAAATAACGAGCCGTGAAAAATTACACAGTTAACGGAAAAGCCACGATTCATTTCCCTTTAAATGTAAATTATCGCTTCTTGTGAAAATTGTACATTTTAAAGTTCGATTATAAACACTGAATTATTTATGCAGCACTACAATTTCATTGTTTAATCTTGCAAATAAAATTACAACGCGTGGAGAAACATAATTTAATTAAATGCCGAAAAAAAAAATCAAAATAAACTACCTCTCGAATGCCATCAAGTGTAATTTTAACATGAATTCAAAACGTAATATAAACTCAACAATAAGTACACATAGATATCAAAGTGTATCTGTAGTTTTGTAAAAGTTAACAGTTAGAATTGAGTTAAACACATTTGACAGTTTTTAACTAATATATAAGTGGTTTACTGTGAGGTATAAGGACTGTTGCAAACAGCACGGAACGCTGACGATGCCGGTTCAAGTCCTGCCCGAGTCGAAAATATTTTCAATTTATTTTCGATCTTTAAATTATATATTACTACATTTTAATTAATAAAATTCTTTACACACCTAACCGCATTAAAAAGAACATAACCATTGCTACCGAAGACACATTTCAAAAAGAAACGCCTTCAATAGACATATGAAGTAAGCCATTTCCTTCTTTATAATCTTCAGGTCAGCCGCGCCAACACTATATACTATAGAGGGCAATCCAAGACCTTAAGCTTTTAAGACGACTTAGACATGCCTGTCCCATTTACGTAAACGCATTACTGTTACTATCTTTATGGCTACATTTTATTGCCCTTCAAAATGTCCGCTCGAAAAGGATTATCATTCCCTGGGCCGACATAAATTTGGATATAGCGGACTATTTCTGTCAAAATAATGGTGTTAAAAGAGAGAAAAGTGTAACGGAATTCCACGGCTTGCGTAGAGAGAAAGAGAGCCGATGAAGATTTGGAAGGTGATGACATTATTGAAAAGTGAAATAAAATAATACGCTAAAGCAATGAAAATATAAAGGAAAGGACAGTTTGGTTTTGATGGAAAGACTTTAGGCAAATGAAAAAAATATATTTCGCATTTTAAACAGTTAAAGTGTTTTATTTAAAATTTGTAAATAATTTAAGCTAATATATTTCGCGTTTTACACCGTTAAAGTGTTTTATTTAAACTCGCATAAACTACACACAGTATTTAAATATATTAAATTTAACCGAAAAAGTTACCATTTTATCGCCATCTCTTTAAACAAGACTCTCCAACAAAGTGGTTTGGCGGCGGTGGGGCGAATCTCGACTGATAATTTAGAAATTAACGCGATAAGGTTTATTTATAGGGCCCGCCGTAGACGAACGAGAACCCGCATGACTGCTAAATTTAGACGCCGTCGCACCGGCAATGACACGATTATCGAGTTTCCGACTTCAATCGCGTCCTTCATTGATTTCGGCCCAATTTATCGAAATACTAGCAGTGTCAGCGACTTCGTCTGCGCAGAATAGTTATTTCGGGCATCCAAATTTGTTTTTGCAAACCTCCTATTTAACTCTACAAATTTAAGCTTTTACCCACGACGTCGTTTGCGTCCCGTCGTTCTTGCAAGTTAATCTTAAAAGATAGACATAGGTATACTGTCGCAAATATTTTTTTAGATAATTTAAAGATCAATCATTCTTTCGTACATATTTTTGGGTATCATAAATCGTTTTCGCTGCAT